GTCTGTCTGTGCTGGGTAAGATCACAGCTCTCTGTCTGGCTGTCTGTGCTGGGTAAGATCACAGCTCTCTGTCTGTCTGTCTGTGCTGGGTAAGAACACAGCCCTCTTGGTAAGAACACAGCTCTCTGGCTGTCTGTGCTGGGTAAGAACACAGCTCTCTGGCTGTCTGTGCTGGGTAAGAACAGGAGTGATGTGATTAGTGGAGCACCACAGGAATCTGTATTAGGACCACTGCAGATAGAACCAAGCTTTGGTTAGCAAAATTCAGCAATTGGGTATACAGTGCATAACACATGACATTTAATGACAAATTAATGAATGCAGATATATTCAGATAGCAAAAGAGTAAATTGCAAGTATAAGATCAGTTTAATAAATAAAGCGATGTTAAGATACATAATTAATCTATATACTTGTATAAGAAAGATGTTAAAATTGTACCGTGCTTTCGTAAGACCACATCTGTAATACTACACATAATTTTGATCAACACAAAAGACATAAGTCTTCTCTGGAGTTAGTCCAAGCAAGAATGACCAGTTCTGGGGCTTAAAGGAGCTCCCCACACTGACAGGTCAGTAAAACTGGTCTGTGTAGACTGAAGGCACTCAAATCAAGTCTTCAAAACCCTCAACGGCTTTGAGTAAACCAAGTAAGTGTTTTAAATCTACGAAGGGGAGGCCCTTCTTTACGCTAAGGGTGGTGGGGGTCAGGAACCAGCTACGTTCCGTGTTGTTAAGGGGCGGATTCCCTCCTTTCAGTGAACTGCTGGAGACCCTTTCTAGTTTGCTAGTGGTTACACACATGGGTGATGTCCCTTGAGAAAACAGATCCTCTGTTTCCCTGCTTCTCCCTCAGACCCCATGGAGAACCCTCCCAGCATCCTGGATCGCTTCCAGTCAGGAGAGGTGTGGGCAGGGCTCAGCGTGGAGCTGCCCTGCATCGCCTCCGGATACCCCAACCCCGCCATCCGCTGGCTGAAGGACGGCCGGCCCCTGCCGGCGGACTCCCGCTGGACGCGCCGCCTGTCTGGGCTGACCGTCAGCGACCTAAGGCCAGAGGACAGCGGCAACTACATCTGCGAGGTCACCAACAGCTTCGGGTCAGCCGAGGTCAGGGGTCACCTCAATGTCATAGGTGAGAGACACCCAACTGGCCCGATGCGGGTCCCCCTCCTGCTCTTTCGCCACATCCCCCCGTGTCTCTGTGGCTCACTGTGCTGCCGCCCTGCCAGGGGGTCCCCATCTTCTCATTCTCACGGTGCGTTTCCACGGGACAGTGCCACAGCAGGCCCCTGTGGTCTGTGGAGTGCACGCCAGGAGCTAAATAGTGATCCGGCGCATTGCTCTTTCAGACCTTCAACAGCGAGCGCTTTAAACTTTCATCGTCAAAGTCCATTTTCTAATACTGATTAAACAACAGAAGCAATACATGACTGGACTGAGGTCCGTCCACCCATCCACACCCCCATCCATGCTACCCACCCCACACATCCACACCACCCTCCCATCCACACGCCCGCCCATCTACACCACCCATCCACACCCCCATCCATACTACCCACCCACCCATCTACACCACCCTCCCATCCACACCACCCGTCTACACCCCTACCCATCTATACCCCCACCCACCCACACCACCCTCCCACCTACACCACCCACCCATATACACGACCCATTAACACCCTCCCATCCATAACCACCCATCTACACCTCCACCCATCTACACCACCCACCCATCCATCCACAGTGCCCATCTACACCCCCATCTACTCCACCCATCTATACCCCCACCCATCTACACCCCCACCCACACATCCACTCCACCCATCTACACCATCCACCATCCACACAACCCATCTACACCCCCACCCATCTACACCATCCACCCAGCCACACCCCCACCCATCCACGCCATCCACCCATCTACACCACCCACTCATCCACACATTTGTATCTGTTTGATCCAATACAGGGCTGGGGGAAGGTCTGGACCCTTCAGTCTGCCCATGAGTAATGAAGAGACTTTGCAGGCTGCTCCCTTGCTATATTGCAGCACTGATAACGTACCAGGTTCAGCTCTTCAGAATCCCCTCTACCTTTTGTGACTGTGCTGCTGAGCTACAGTGTAGAGGTGGCGAGATGGGTGTGCAGTCTCTGACTTGTGCTCTCTGCATAATGGCTGGGTTGTCTTTTAAATTTTGCATTCCACTGAGCGTGCAACACACACACACACACACGCTGGCCCGCGCCCTGATACGAGGTGACAGCAGTGTCCTGTCTGGCTCCCTGGGTGCCGGGATGTGGTTGTGACAGCGATTCCCTGCTGCTCACTCATGTTAGCCCGGGCCAGCAGACAGCGCGCACTCCGGACATGACAACAGTCTGTGTAACTGAGCCTCGAAGACGAGGTGAGGGGAGGGGGACAGATGCAGGAGGGAGTGGAATAGAGGGAGGGAATGGGGAGGCAGGGACAGAGAAAGCATCGCGAGGGAGGCAGAGGGAGACCAGGTCGGTTTCACCCTGTGTGATAGTGTGATGTCTGCCTCTGACAGCTCTGTCACAGCGAGCCTTCCTCACAGCCAGAGACAGACAGGCTGACAGGCCAGCACCATGCAGGGGAGAGCGAGGGAGCGAGGGAGAGAGAGAGCCTGCCCACTGGGCACATCATCTCTGCGCGCGCACACTCGGTCTGACACCGCACCGAGAGAGGGGACAGCACACAGCCCCCAGCACACAGCACCAGCTGCCTTATTGCTCACTGACATTTAAGTCCACACACACACACACTCTCCCTCTCTCACTTACTGGCACACACTCACACTGGTGTACACACAGACTAGCACGCACTCACAATGGTGTACACACAGACTGGCACACACACCTTCACTGGCACAAACCCCTAACTATACACAGCCACTGGACACGCAACCCCATGAAAACACACTCACACAGATACTGGAGCTCTAGTTAAAACAAGGGGAACAGAAGATGGGACAGCCTCACGCTGATCCAAAGTCGCACATCCACAAAGAAGCGGTTAGCTGCTCACAAAATTATGACATTATAAATTGAACTACCACTTCGGAAGAAAGATGGGTGGTGTGATAACAGATGCAAAGAGGCCATTCTTTCTTTTTTCTGTCTTCGTCTCCATGCACACTAGCTGGAAGCCATGCAGGTCAGAATGTGATCAGCAGCACCCAAAAACTATGGGAACAAGTTATCAAACCATCCGTCCGTTTTCGAACTGCTGGATCCAGTATGGGGGTGCAGACGCACACAGCACCCCAGGAATTGAACTCGGGGCCCCAGCACTGCTAACCACTGAGCCACTGTGCTGTGACCTGTAATCATCAGACTCTAATGATCCAGTGACCACTGTTTTTTCTGAAATCAATTAATGGCACATATGACAAATATGCTTTTTGCAAAACTGCTGAGATTACAGTACGCAAGATTGCAACCAACCTGTCAGTCTCCTCGACTCATGACATTTCTTTTTCCTATTTCACCTGTGAAATGAATAAATCAGAAGGGCCTAGGCATGTCGCCTGTGGAAACCACGCGTTTTTGTTTTTTTCTGAACGCTTTTTTGAGAACTGGGCCAAACTGTTGGCTGTAGATGTGTCTCTCGAGCTGTCCCCGTGCGTGACGTCCCAATATCTGGTGTTCCTGCCTCCCGCAGACCCTCTGAGAGTGACCCTGACGCCAAAGAACCTCAAGACAGGCATCAGCAACACGGTGATCCTGACGTGCGCGGTCCAGGGCTCGCCTCACTACACCGTGCAGTGGTACCGCAACACCGAGCTGGTCGTCCCTGACGACCACATCTCGATCCGGGGCATCAACAACGAGACGCTGCTCATCAACTCCGCGCAGAAGACCCACTCCGGTGCCTACCAGTGCTTCGCCACCCGCAAGGGCCAGACGGCTCAGGACTTCTCCATCATCCTGCTGGAGGGTGAGGGAATGGGGGCGCAGGGAGGAGGGGAGCACACGCTCGATGACGGGGGGAGAGGAGCTGTGGACGATGGTGGCAGCGGTGGGATACAGAGGGAGCGATTCGGGTGACAGGACAGGGCAGAGAGGGCCGACGTGTTCTGGCAGCGAGCAGTGATAAGGGAGCGTTTCTGTAGTTCCTACATCTCCCTTTGCACCTCCCACTCAATTATTCACACCTACTTTTCCAACTTTGCTTATTTTCCCTCTTTCCTCTTTCCCCTTCTGCCTCTGGGTCCCCTTCCTATTTCCTGTCCCCTTCCTCTCCCCGTCCCCTCTCTCTCTCCTCTCCCTGTGCCCCCACTCTCTCCTCTCTCTGTCCTCCCTCTCTCTCCTCTCTCTGTCCCCCCATTCTCTCTCTCTCCTCTCCCTGTCCCCCCCCTCTCTCCTCTCCCTGTCCTCCCTCAGACGGGACGCCCCGGATCGTGTCGTCCTTCAGCGAACGGGTGGTGGCCCCCGGGGAGCAGTTCTCGCTGATGTGCGCGGCCAAGGGCGCCCCCCCGCCCACCGTCACCTGGACCCTGGACGACGAGCCCATCACCCGCGACAGCGGCCACCGCAGCAACCAGTACACCCTGTCGGACGGCAGCACCGTGAGCCACATGAACGTCAGCAGCCCGCAGATCCGCGACGGCGGGGTGTACCGATGCGTCGCCCGCAACTCCGCCGGCAGCGCCGAATACCAAGCGCGCATAAACGTAAGAGGTGCCTGTCTACTTTTCAATATCAGAATAGGAAAGGAATCTCTTGCTGTCGTGGCCGTCTTCATCGCCCTCCTCGTCATCGTCAGCACCTGCAGTTCCCGCTGCCATCTGTAATTCCACCTCACCTCTCCTGTCTCTCTGCGTCTCACACTCGTTTCTCGTACTCTGCCTCCTCCCTGTGTTTATAATCCTTCATTTTTCACTGTTTCTGTCTCTTTTTGGACGTCTCGTCGCCTTTCACACTCTCCACTCTCTGCCTGTGTCTCTCTGTGCCGCATAGCTCCCTCTTCCTCTTCCTTGCACCCTTTGTCTGTCGCTCTCTGTTGTGAAGTTTGAAGTCCACAATGTCCCCGCCCTGTCTCTGCACTGCTGTCTCTTCCTCTTGCTTCACCTCTCTGGACTCCTGCTTTCCAAGTCTTCCTCTGCTCCTCCCTTTCTCTTAACCCGGATCTCCTCCTTCCCTCCGGGGCCGAAGCTCACAGCATCTCGCGCTCACACTTCCTGTGACAGCGCCGGCCGCCTCCTGCCCTCCCTCGGCACCCACTCAGGAGGCGCTGATCACGGGGGGGGAGATCAGCCAGCTAAGGCCTCCACTCAGGAGGGTCACTGGTTCCAGCCTGGGCCTCCGCTAAAGCTGGAGGAGCTCGAAGCTGGCGAGCAGATTCACCGCGGCACGCTTTCGCGGGGGGGACCGCGTGTCTGGGGCCGGCCGTCGCGGAGAGCAGCTGTCTGCCTGCGTGAGGCTCAGCGGTAGTGACAGTGGCAGTAATATCGCTGTCTCCGCGATGAGGGGGGGCAGGCCGCGGTGACAGGGAGAGCCCCATCGCGACCGACCCTCGGCAATGCCAGCTCCGCTCTGACACGTCCGACTGGCTTGACTGGGGCAGGAGCGTTGCCCGGATGACTTCAGGATCACTCCCTCCGGCTCACGCAAGCCGGCTGTCTTTGTGAGCTCTTCCCGAGCTTGCTGGCTCCCTCTGATCGCAGAGGAACGACACAGATATGGATGTTTTTCTAAAAACGGATCAGTTGAGAACGTCTCCCTTTCACCTTTTCACATTGAGAGGAATTGGTCTCGTTATGGGATTGTTCCATTTCCCCGGGTTTTCTGTGGTAGAGTGTCATTTAAGCACATACTGTAGGAAAGGCTACAAGTGGGAGGGGGCCGCACAGCATGTGTCACTGTGAAAGCCTTCATGTCAAAGAGACAGTGGGAGGCGCAGAGACTGGGGAGTGTGAAACTCACATACACACATGACACGCACACTCTCAGACCGACCCCATCACAGGCATGCAGGCGTGGAGTTGGATTTAGTTTGAACTAACATCTTAGAAGAAAGATGGGTGGTTTGATAACAGATGCAAAGAGGACATTCTTTCTTTCTTTTTTCTGTCTTCGTCTCCATGCACACTAGCTGGATGCCATGCAGGTCTGAATGTGATCAGCAGCACCCAAAAACCATGAGAACAAGTTATCCAACCACCGGCCGTTTTCTAACTGCTGGATCCGCTACAGGGTTGCATGGGACCAGGAGTCTGGCCCAGCAAGCAGTGGGCACAAGGCAGGGTACACCCTGGATAGGACACCAGTCCATCTCGGGGCACACACATCAGGGCCAGTTTTCACAGAAGCCAATTAAAGTCTTTGGACTTCTGGAACATGTGTAAGAATGGAGAGAACATACAAACTCCACACAGACAGCACCCCAGCAACTCAGCCCAGCCCAACTCAGCGCCAACCACCATGCCACCATGCTGTGACCTATGATCCGCAGACTCTAATGATCCAGTACAAGAATGTGTTTTACCAACAGTTTTTACTGTAGCATTTGCTCGGGAAGTTAAGAAAGACTAGATTTGGTCCTGTGAAGATGCAAGAAGGAGTCTTCATTCCAGGACTTTCAGAGTATCTGAGACACGAGGCAGCCATGACGTGAACAACAGGGAAATCGGCGTGTCCAAAATCCTTACAAATTGGTGAGATTTTATCAAAAAAGAAGCAAGATTGTCATGCAGCGAGGAGATCGCAGTAGGAGGGAAGTTAAAGAGAGCTTCTCAGGGTGAGCAGTGTAACACTGACTGGCCCACAGTATCTCTAATGCATCCTGTCAAGTTAGGATGCAGCACAGCAGCTAAAGAGTTTTTTCATATCTCAGCTTACTGTCCTGGGCACAACATAACTAGTGCTCTGCATTTTTGATGTTTGGTGTCCTTTTAACCTTGCCTTAGGCTGATTCTGTTTCTGATCTCCCAGTTAAAACCCTAATACTCTGCTTTTCACTTCACACTCGGCTGCTGAGTGTTGTGCATTGTGGATCCCTCAAGCACTGTTTGCAGTGTGCCGATCAGTGACCCCGGCACCCCTTCTTCTCAGTTCGGTGCTTCACTGATATGTGGGCATGGGGTTGCACATATATTTTCTGCCTGTTGTTGAAGGAGACACCCTGACCGCGCTCTTTTCAACCGAGCTGAGATATTTACAAGTATTTAGCCAGTGCAAACTCCCCGAGCCCAGCGATAGCTCTGGCTGTGTTGATGGTGCGTGGTTCCCCACTGAGTCTGTGAATTGGGCAGCAAGGAGGGGCTGTATAGTCTGCTTCATCCCACAGCATTGAATATGGCTGCACTGGTTCCCCATCTGCAGAGGCTGGCTATACCTGGACCATGACCAGTCCTAGAGCAGTTTCGAGTGGACCTGTCTTGGCAGGTGAAAGCTGGCAGGTTGTTGGGTTGGGCGTGTGATGAGGTGCTTGTTGGTGCTGGCAGGTTGTGGGTTGGGCGTGTGATGCAGCGCTCCAGGTTGTACCTGCCAGTTTGGAGATCAGATCGTTCCTTGTTTTGGCTGCTTTTGTCTTTAAGTGCTCCCAGAAGATCAGCGTCCTGTCTAGGGTCACTCCAAGGTTGGTTGGAGTAGGGTGGTGCTGTAATTTCCTATTGTTCATCTGAATGGTTCTGCACTGTGGAGGTGGAATAGAGGAGAGGAGACTGTTTCTTCGTGGGGCTTGGTTGGAGTTGCCATGTGTTGCAGTGCTGTTCAAGTTCTGATATGTCCTCATTAAGGATCTGGTCGAAGGTGTCAAAACTGGGGACTTGTGCTACCAGACAGATGCTATCAGCATGGATCAGCTGTCTGTACTCGGGCACGCCCAGGGAAGCTGATCAGTCCACTAGCAGGTACCATACACTCGGTACCATACCCACAACCCCTTGCAATCACAGCCTGAGCAGGCGGCTAGGCGCCAGGGCATCCTAACGTCCTTCTCCCTGCTTCGCTCTGCCTCTTTGCCCAACCTTCCTCATCCCTCTTCCCACTCTCTTCCTTCCACCCTCCTCTGCTTTTCCTCTCTTCACTGTCCCTCCACCTACTGCTGTCCTCTCTCCCCTCCTCTAACTCTCCCTCTCCCTCTCTGTCTCTCTCTGCCCCCTCCCTCTCTCTCTCTGCAGGTCCACCCAGCATCCGAGCGATGCGCAACATCACGGCGGTGGCCGGGAGGGATACCTTCATCAACTGCCGCGTGATTGGCTACCCCTACTACTCCATCAAGTGGTACAAGGATTCGCTACTCTTGCCCGACAATCACCGGCAGATGGTGTACGACAACGGCACGCTCAAGCTGATGGATGTGCAGAAGGGAATGGACGAGGGGGAGTACCTCTGCAGCGTCCTCATCCAGCCTCAGCTCTCCATCAGCCAGAGTGTCCATGTCACCGTCAAAGGTACAGCGCCTCCCGTCACCTCCCCAGCCACCCAAAGGTACAGCAACCCCCGTCACCGTCACCTCCCCGGCTGTACCCCAAAGGTACAGCACCCCCTGTCACTTTCACCTCCCCAGCCGTACCCCAAAGGTACAGCACCCCCCATCACCGTCACCTCCCCGGCCGTACCCCAGAGGTACAGCGCCTCCCATCACTTCTCCAGCCACCCAAAGGTACAGCACCCCCCGTCACCGTCACCTCCCCAGCCGCCCAAAATAGAGCACCCCCCGTCACTGTCAGCTCCCCGCCCGTACCCCAAAGGCACGGCGCCTCCCGTCACCTCCCCGGCTGTACCCCAAAGGTACGGCGCCTCCCGTCACCTCCCCAGTTGCCCTCTGAAGACCTGTGGACTGGAATGGGTGCAGTGTGGCACACTCGTTGGCGGGGGTGGTACCAGTGACACTGGTTGGGTAGTGAGACATCTGCCAGGGGCTGACATCCTTCAGCTGTCCATGCGTGCACTGCTGTGGTCATCTGTCCGGAGAGGGCAGAGCTGCACGGGAAAGACAGCGCCCCAGCCGTCACAGCTGTTCCTTGGCCTGGCCTGTTAGCAATCAGAAACCCCCCCAGTGTGTGTGTGTGTGCACTACCCTAGATCAACCCCAGCCTCAGGACCCTGCCACATCCACCTCATTCAGATTCTGCGCCAAGAAAAGACCAAAATGTGTAGTCGAAGATTGTTGACCTGGTCGTGCGGTGTGTCGGGATGTGTGAGTGTGTGCAGATCGGTCTGTTGCAGTGGCTGTGCTTGCGTGCTTGTCTCCAGGTCTGGTGTGAGGTATAGCGTCATGCCCTGGCCTGGTCTTGTCACAGATCTTCTTTAATTAGATGATTTACAGCAAAGCCCCACATAAAATTCCCCCAATGTCTTCACTGGGCGCTCAAACCCCTGTCAAGCCTCCCTGCTGTCTGTGTTGTGCTACGCCGTGTTCATGGAAATGCCAGTATTTCAGCTGCCAGCTACAGCTACCTCTAATTAAGAGAGTTATGAATGGGGCCAGACTATGGCCCAGCGTGCACAGAGGAGCGCAGCCCGTTATCTGTGACTGGCTGATTTATTGGGAGCTCAGGACCGTGGGGCTCCCCTTGCACAGCAGCTTGATCCATTTCCGATTTTCCGTGACAAGATATCCTGCATTATAGAATATTGTGGACGTGTCTCCATTCGTTGGTCACATGTTGGTGTTAAATGACATTCATGGATTATTAAACATGTGTGAAACCATATGAAGTGAGAATGGCATGGGGAGTAATTCCACGCAACAGTAAAACTTGATTAAGAGCTCGCCTTCTGTCTCTCCCCCCCTCCCCCTCCACTTCCTTCTGGCACCCCCCTTTCCTGCTCTGATCCCCACACCCCGCCTTCCTCCGTATCTCCTCCTCCTCTGCCTTGCAGTGCCTCCCCTGATCCAGCCCTTCGAGTTCCCCCCCGCCTCGATCGGCCAGCTGCTGTACATCCCCTGTGTGGTCTCCTCGGGCGACATGCCCATCCGCATCACCTGGCGCAAAGACGGCCAGGTCATCATGTCGGGCTCGGGGGTCACCATCGAGACCAAGGAGTTCATGAGCTCCCTGCAGATCTCCAGCGTGTCGCTCAAGCACAACGGCAACTACACCTGCATCGCCAGCAACGACGCGGCGACGGTCAGCCGCGAGAGACAGCTCATAGTGCGAGGTGAGCGGAGCCGAGGGAGAGGGACTGTGGGGGACCTGTCGGCTCTCAGTGTGGGGAGAGGGATTGTGGGGGACCTATCGGCTCTCAGTGTAGGGAGAGGGATTGTGTGGGACCTGCCGTGTCTCAGTGTAGGGAGAGGGATTGTGGGGGACCTGTCGGCTCTCAGTGTAGGGAGAGGGATTGTGGGGGACCTGCCGTCTGTCAGTGTGGGGAGAGGGATTGTGGGGGACCTGCCGTCTGTCAGTGTGGGGAGAGGGATTGTGGGGGACCTGCCGTGTCTCAGTGTGGGGAGAGGGACTGTGGGGGACCTGTCGGCTCTCAGTGGTGGGAGAGGGACTGTGGGGGACCTGTCGGCTCTCAGTGTGGGGAGAGGGATTGTGGGGGACCTGCCGGCTCTCAGTGTAGGAAGAGGGATTGTGGGGGACCTGCCGTCTGTTAGTGTAGGGAGAGGGATTGGGGGGGACCTGCCGGCTCTCAGTGTAGGAAGAGGGATTGTGGGGGACCTGCCGTCTGTCAGTGTGGGGAGAGGGATTGTGGGGGACCTGCCGTCTGTCAGTGTGGGGAGAGGGATTGTGGGGGACCTGCCATCGTTTGGTGTGTGGTCAGGAGAGCCAGGAACCAGCTTGAGCAGTGGGGACAAGAATGGGTGTAGTAAGGGCAAGGAGACAGATGGAGAAGACCAGGAAACTGGAACAAGAAAGGGAGTGGAATGGGTAGGGAGGGTGCCAGTCTCTCACTCTCTCCCTCTGTGCCTTGTGGTGTCTCTGCAGTGCCACCCCGGTTTGTAGTGCAGCCCAACAACCAAGATGGGATCTATGGCAAAGCTGGTGTCCTGAACTGCTCTGTGGACGGCTACCCTCCTCCCGAAGTCATGTGGAAACACGCCAAAGGTGACCCTCCTGGTCCCCCTCCACTGGCTCACTCGCTTTTCGACTCCCATGCCCCTGAGCTCCCCACCTACACGCCATCCCTTCCACACTTTCTGACTCATTGCTTAGCTCATCTGAACGGGTTTTTATCCCTCTGTCCTTGCTTTTCCAATGCCTTTGCGTCTCTCTCTTCTTTCCCCCACTACCTTGCCTCTCACTGCCCATTGTTCTGTTCCCGTCTCCCTCCTCTGTCGCGTGTCCGTTGCGTATCTGGACCCGGGCCTCCCTCTCACCCCCCCTTCCCCTCTCCCGCTCCTGCAGGCAGTGGGAATCCTCAGCAGTACCACCCTGTTCCCCTGACGGGCCGGATCCAGATCCTGGCCAACGGCTCCCTGCTCATTCGCCACGTGCTGGAGGAAGACATCGGCTACTACCTGTGCCAGGCCAGCAATGGAGTGGGCACGGACATCAGCAAGAGCATGTTCCTCACGGTCAAGAGTGAGTACCATCGCCACCCCCCCACCGCGGACAGGGCTTCCAGCGCTCAGTCTTCCCACTATAGTCTCATATCGCCAACAGTTGTTTTCATGGCCATCAAGACTGAGGCTACATCCAGTGTTTGTATTAATATTGCACAGTCCATCACCTAAAGTACAATTCTCCCTTACAAGACACTCTGAAACATAAATTTACTCTCCCGCACGCTCTGAAACACAAATTCACTCTCCCGCACGCTCTGAAA